CTCACTTTCAGGGAGCAAGGTGGTGTCATCTGCATATTACAGGTTGTTAATAAGCCTTCCCCCAATCCTCATGCCACATTCTTCATCATATCATCCAGCTTCCTTGATTATTTACTCATCGTACAGATTGAATAAGCATGCTAAGAGGATCTAACCCTGACACGCCATTTTGTATTGTTGAAAAGGGGTATTTGCTATGAAGAAGCCCTTGGTCTTGAAAAATTCTATCATGCAATCCCTGGCTTTGCTTCTGTCACCAAGACCAGATTTTCCAACTGCTGTTCCTTCCTCTTTGCTTCCACCTTCCTCATTCCAATCGCCAATCATGATACGTGTATCCTGATTGAATGTTTGATCAATTGCAGACTCAAGATGTTTGGTGGAATGCTTCAGTTTCTTCATCACTGGTTGTTGAGGTTGGTGGATAAACTTGAATAATGACTGGATTTCCGTGAGTGTGGGCAGATCACAGATAACCTTGTACTTCAAGATAGATCCTTACAGGAGTGGAAAGCCTCGTTTTTCTCCCTTGGAGCAGCTGGTGGGTTCGAACTGCTGACCTTGCAGTTGGCAGCCCAAGGCGTATCCATGATGCCACCAGGGCACCTTATCAAGATAGACCTTGAAATGTCCTTTGGGATGATGACTGCAAAGTCATTCCTCTTGATTGTGCCCCTCTCAGCACAGTAAACTATACGATTGCCTGACGTAAGACGATCAGTACCAGTCCGTGTCAGCTCACTAACTAGAACGTCGATTTCTATGCATTCCATTTCATTTCTGAGGACTTCCAACGTTCCTAGATTCATACTTCTTGCATTTCAAGTTCTGATTGTTAAGGGATGTTTCCCGCTGTTTCTTGGCATTTGGTGCTATCAGCAAACGAAGGTCACGAAGACATGACTCCCACACAGTCATCGGGGTGGACTCTGCTTGAGGAGGCAGCTCTTCCCCGGCCGCATGTTGAATGCCTCCTGACTCGCGGGGCCAGTGTCCATCTCTGACAGTGTGCTGCTGCTTTGCAAGAGGTTTTCCGTCTCTCACAAGGTCTTGATTCTGTCCAACAGGTTCTCCATTGCTGATTCCGTAGATGTGGACAGCCTACTCCCCCTCCCTCAGAAACAAGAACAACAACAAGAAACGCTGGCCTGCAGCTTGCTGATGTCAAGACGAGCAAGGAGCCATTTGGTCGAGCCCCCCAATCCTTCCAGTTCCATGGGTCCCCAGAACTTAATCTGCGGGAGGAAAGAGGGAGAAATGGGAGAAAAGGCTGGGAAAGGGCGGAACAAGGAATGGGAAGTGAGGCAAAGAGAAGAAGAGGGAGAAAGAGAGAAATAAGAAAGGAAGGCAGGAGAGTGGGAGATGACGCGTCTGCCTGAACAGGCAGTTTGGTTTGGGGCTGATTTTGACCCTTGGCTACCCGAGACCACTGCTTTCCTCCTGGTCTTTCTGAAAGCCATCACCTTCCCTCCTGCCCTGCGTCAGGGACCAGCAGCCTCAGCATCACCTGGGAGTCATTAAAAACACAGAATCCCAGGTCCCATCCAGCAACCCTGAACCTCCCTCTGCCTTTCAGCCGGATTCAAAGGTGACTTCTAAGTACTTAGGGCTCAGGAGGCTCTGATCAAGAAGGGCCTTCTAAACATACAACATCCCTCTAGTTTTTTAATGCGTCCCCTGCCCCCCACGATCATGACCCCAGTTCTATCTTACAAAGCCGGCTAAACTGGAGCATGTACACCAGTGCAGATAAGAGCTCTCGACACAGAATCTTGGACAGATAAACCCCTCAGGGCCAATATTGAGAGTAGTGATACCATGAGGGGAGGGGGAAGGTGGGGGGAGCAGGGGGAGAAAGGGGAAGCTGATCACAATTAAGGACCTACAACACCCCCAGGGGGGACAATCAACAGAAACGTGGGTGAAGGGAGACAGTGGACAGGGTGATATATGAAAATAATAATAATTTATAATGTATCAAGGGTTCACGAGGGCGGGAGGAGGGAGGGAGGGAGGTGAAAAAAAAGAGGAGCTGATACCAAGGGCTCAAGTGGAAAGAAAATGTTTTGGAAATGATGGTGGCAACATATGTACAAGTGTGCTTGATAGTAGGGGTGTGTGGACTGTTACAAGAGCTGAAAGAGACCCGGTATAATTTTTTAAGTTGAGAATGATGAGGGCAATGAATGTACAAATGTGCTTTACATAATTGATGTATGTTTGGATTGTGATAAGAGTTGCATGAGCCCCTAATAAAATGATTAAAAAAAAGAGTGACCTTTTACCTGCTTTTGTCTCTTACCTCTTTGTTTCCCAGAGGACCCCAGCTCAAAGGGAGACTTCTTTAATGCTCCCCAAGACTTGCTTACAGATGTTATACATTGTCCTTAGTCCCTGAAATCTCTCCTTAGCCTTCCTTATGTCAGTTTGACACAGGGTCTCGGTGGTGGTGGTAGTGGGCTCTGTATCTGCCTTTTTCATCCTGGTACATGCCCCCAGATCTACTGCACGGCAGGTGCAGTGGCGTTCAAGGGTCTTTTACATAGAAAATGATGCTTGGATGGACAGTTGGTTGGATGGATGTGTGGGTGTGTGAAGGATTAATAAATGATGAGCAACTGGATGCTGGATGGATGGTGGGATGGATCGAAAAATGAATGCAAGGATGAGTGAGTGGATGGATGGATGGATAGATGAATGGCTGGCTGGTTGGATGAGTGGTTAAGTGGAAGATTGGTAAGTGATGAGTATAAGGATGGTGGATGAATGTGTATGTATGGATGTATGGATGTATGGATGGATGTTGTGGTAGTTACATAATCTGTTGTCAACTTGAGACTATTAAGAGTGGTTAGCCTGTCAATCAGGTCACAGCTTGACGATCTCATTTGGAGGTGCTAAGGAAATAAATAGCTCACTGGACACAGAACACACACTCCCTGTGAGACATTCCTGTTGATAAGCCGCATGGAGCTATGCTGATAGAGTCAGAGCCCTGGAGCTGGAAGAACCACGTGGAGACCCGCGCCAGTGCTGAGATGCTTCCACCGCCACTGGAGTCACAAGACTTTCCCACCCACTGGCCTGCGATCTTTCTTCCTGCATTCGATGTCATTGCATGTGCCACGTGAGTCTGAAGAATTTATAGACTAGTAACAATCATATGGGCTAATATCGGGATTTATGGGCTTAACCTTGACTGGGCTGGGATGTTTTCTTAATGGACTATTGCTCTTTGATATAAAGTTATCTCTTACACACAAGTATCTATGAATTTGTTTCTCTAGTTCTACCCAGACTAACACAGATGGATGGAGAGATGGATGAAAGAATGAATTAAAAGAGGGATGTATGGTGAAATGTATGTATGGATAGTGGGGTGAATGGATGGATAGATGGAAGGATGAGTGGGTGAATGACTGGTGAGCAGAGGATTGGTCGATGATGCGTATGTGGATGGTGGATGAATGAATGGATGGGTAGATGGAAAGGATGAATAGATGGATGGATATAGTGGGATGGATGGATGGATGGATGGATATATGGGTGGATGAAAGGATAGATAGACAGAAAGATGGATGTCGGGTAGCGGAATAGATGAAAGGATGAATGGATGGATGCATAGATGGATGGACGGATGGAAGGGTAGATGAGTGGTGAGTAGAGTACTGCTAAGCAGTGAGAAGGTGGATGGTAGATGAATGGATGGACAGATGGAGAGGTATGTGAATGGCTGGCTGAGCTGAGGACAGACAGAGAGGTGGATGGGTGGAGGATGGAGAGAATGCTAATTGGGGGAGGATGGAAGAATAGGTAGGTGGGAGAGTTCCAAATCTGGATCTGAGGAGGCTGGAAAATTAGTGTGGACAAAAGAAGGGAGCTGGCAGAAACAGCTTCTGAATCGAAAATGAACAAACAAAACGTCGCCAAGCATGTGGCTGATGTCTCCTTCCCTCACTGATTGCCAGTGGTCCAGGGTGACTCACAGGGCCCCTATAGGACATGGTAGAAGCACCCCGGTGAGCTTGCGAGCCGCCTGTAATCCTTTAGAGGAGTAGAAAGGCCCATCTTTCTCCCGAAGTGCAGTTGGTGGCTTTGAACTGCTGACCTCATGTCTCAAGGTGACATGAAACCCCATCACAACTGTGAATTACAAAGGAGCAGACCTAGCCCAGGTTCGTGCTTGGAAAAGGGAAGCCAAGGGAACGTCGTCAGCATGCCCTCTGGTGGACAGAGCAGGTAAGGGCACCCACCCCTCGCCTTCCCGCCCCTGAGGTCTGGTGGTGGACAGGAGCGAGATGGAAATGCTCCTGAGAGAGGTTCGGGGTGGGGGGTGTCTTTAGAGAGCGTGTCGATGCGGATGTGGCTGGGATCTTAGCTTATGTTTCACTGACGAGCAGTGGATGGGAGATCCCAATGGGCAAGGGCTTTGTGCCGCCCAAAAGGGGCCAGTCGCTGTCCACTCAGCTCGAAGCCAGAGCGGTCCCATGGAGGTCAGGGAAGAACTGGGTCCCAAGG